TTATTTCCATTAACTTAATTAATTCAATAATAATAATATTTATAGGATGGGAAAATGATTCTTGGGGTTATCACAACACTGATGGTGGATTCTTTCATTGTTCGAGAGAAGGCAGACCGTACGGTCCACCATTTACAACTGGTGATACTATTGGATGTTGTCTAAATTTCAGAGACGATAAAGTGTTCTTTACCAAAAACGGAGAACGTATAGGCATGTAATCGTTATTATACACAGTGCCAGTGTTTCATAAGGAGAAGGAAACAAACGAAAGTTAATACAATACCTTTATGGTGTCTTTCAAGGTATTGCATCCGAAAATTTATTAGAAGGGTTAAAGGGTACCCTATATCCTTCTATAGGAATGAGCTCATCAGGCGCTATTATTAAAGCAAATTTTGGGCATAGTGAATTTCAATATCGACTAGAAGAATACCAAAATGATATTTTTCCAATATATTCAGATGATGATTTTGTTGAAGATATGTCCATAGACCTCGATTATGATGACATGGAATTAAGTGAAGAAGGTATTCAGAAAAACATTTACGATTGATTGAAAATATATACCTGTTACTGAAAATAATAACAATATTATTATTATTAAAACATTGATAGAATCAAAGGTCCCTCCGACTGCAATAACTGAAAAAGGTAGGACCACACGTTAAAGTTTTCATTACAATATTGGCATGTTTACACATCGAAACCGGAAATAAGTAACTCTTGTATTTGCGCCTTTTTAAATCGTCAAGATTTAGGTCCAATCATCAAACAGTTTCGGGGAAATTTTAGAGCGCACATACCCGTCATCTACGAGTAAGGCCATTAATATTACATCGAGAAACCAGGATAAAATGTTTGCCGAGTTTATCAGTGCCATCATGCAATTCAGGACAAAGGATTTCATATCTAGACCAAATATTGTGTTTAAAAACGAGTAGGCATTTCCAAAATGTTTATCACATGATACTTTCGTTTTTTTTTTCTTTGGTCACTACGTATTTAAAATGATACAACATCAACAGACGTGCGATAGATGCAGGAGGAGTATTTAACGACACCATGTATCGAATTTTGGAAATTTTTATGTCGTTAGAAAATCCAGAATATGGTGGTGATGGTCATCTTTTTTCAGGAGATCACTCAAAGTTGATCAGCTCTACAGCACCAATGGATTTAATCGATGAGCTCAATGTAAAACCATTTTTAAGTCTTACCACTTTTTTGACGACGCATTTTAGCTGAGAATAATGCCTAATTACAGCAACCAATGGTTTTTTATCACAGGTATTTGGTGACGTATTGTTTCTCGCAATAATCTACGACGCCCCATTTCCTATCGATTTGGATATCGTCCTATTCAAGTACTGCTTAAAGTTGGATAGCACTATATCACTCGATGATCTGAAGAGATTTAACGAGCCAATGTATAATTTGGCTAGAGAGGTATCAAACGCAAGCGTAAGTGTAAATTTGTCGACCATCGATGGGTTTGATCAGTGGGCCGAGGAAAACGAAATCAGTGTATGTACATATACTACAACGTCTTGAATTTTTGTAAACTTATAATCTGTGGCTTATAAATTTCTGAGTTGTTTATTTTAGCCTATACAAAAACACATGTATGCAAGATCAAGAGAGAATTTGAGGAAATTGTCCAAGAAAATTTGCAAAGATGTCTTGATTAATAGTCGAATTAATCAATTTGATACCATATGCAAAAAACTCAATAGATTTGGCTTCCTTGATGTACGTGATTCTCGAATTATACCCCTTAACCATTATAGTTTACTCATTATTTTTGATGTATTATAGGTTCTAAAGGCAAAGAAAATTACAATCGAGCAAGTTAATGATCACCTATATCGAGAGGTCATGACTGCAGAAGATGTCATTCGAAAATTGAAATTTGGTGATACACTAAATAACAATCAAATCAAGGTTCAAGGGTGGCTTATCGATTGGTTAAGAGAGCAAGAGAAGACCAATTTGCGACAATTCTGTCTATTGATCTCTGCGTATCCGTGTCCTAGACAAGAACTAAAGGTGTTTATTATATCTGTCCATCTTTTGATGTTTTCAAATATTTATTTATTTGACCTATTTTCTCTTGAATATATAAGGTATCATTTAAGTCTAAATCTTATCGTGGCGCCAGAGATCTCCATATTACGCCCGAATTTCATACATGCTTCCAAGAGTTAACGCTCAGTCCGAATTTCACATCAAAGCAAGAGTTCTACAACGTGATGAATGTACAGCTTGATCAGGGAATTCACGACAACCGATTTTCCATTGCTTAGATTTAATACCGATTTTCTTATATAATATATTAATAATCAGGTACTGATCAAATACAGCAATATGTACTAGGTATACCTTACATCAATAGAAAAATCAAATTAACTTTCCATGAAAATTTTGTGC